TCAAATCTTGCACTGACCCCAGGTTATCTTAACCCAGCTTTGAACAACTCGGCCCTGACGTTTATCCCATGACCTTAACTGTTGACCCTCAATCTTGCTATTGTGAGATGCAATAATTTCTTTTCACAGACTTTTGAACTTCATAATTATAATGCATTTCTTATCAAAAAAAGCAAACTTAAGTAGTATTCAGGCCCGATATAAATTATTCACAATATTTATTTGTAGGCCATTTGTGATCATTTGTGACCTTCAGATCAGTAATGGAAGTTTCATAAAAATAGCAGACACCAGATCACTGAAGTTAAAAGCAACAAAACTAATCTGCAGTGAGAAATGTTTACATTGTATGTAGGACTTTAGTTTAAGTCCTTCCCCAGGCATTGGATCGATTAGTTTCCATAGTATAAGGTGACAAGCACAAGTATAACGTAACCTTCTGTACACACCCTCTGTCCAGACATAGCAAAATTCAATGATTTGGACACTTTTGACCTTCAGATTCCCTCAGTTAGTTACTGTCTATAGGAGCACAAGTAGGCACTGTCGCTATTCATTTGGGCACATATTTCAGCAATCATAGGACAATCATTTGAGTCTGCAAAAATTGCCACAGACACATTATAATTTACCCTCTTATCTTGGAATGAGTGTTGTGCTCAAGTCTCTTCTGGGAATTACAAGGTAATGGAATCCTTAAAAAGTTGCAGTTTTGGCTGTAAAGCCCTGCCCTGCTGGCATCCAGGGTCCCTTAGATACCCAGGGGAAGTGAGCAAACTCCAGATTACCTGTGCATGCGCAGGTAAACTGGTTTATCCAGTAAAACTTGTCTGAGTTTGTCACTCCCTCTTCTGACGTATTAGTGGAAAATATCCATACCCTCCCCCCCTTCATGGATGGACGTTCAGATTAGACCCCCACCATCTCTTCGAATTTCCATATGTCTTGTATAATTCCCCTAAACCCCTGGAATCTTTTGTGACCTACAGTAGATTTGCAGTTAATTTAAAAATTATGAACTGTTTGCCTTTCATCAATCATTGTTCATTATCTTCAGACGCCTTTTGATTATGGCTGATGTATTTTCTTTGTTTTAAAAGGCAATATTTCTGATGTACATTAAGCACGCTTGATGAGACAAAAATTAATATCACTTCATCGAAAATGTTCACAACAACTTACAATTTGAATCATTTATTTACGTAAGACCACATCACTGCACATATTTGAATTGAAAACGGATCTACTTTTAAGTACAGAACCTTCAAGGGCACCCAACGTCATTTATCAGAAAATATCTGTTCGGAAGACGATTTGAGATCTAGAATTTTCGGAACATTTATTTTAAAATTTCTTGTTTGCCTGCCTCTCGTAGGATTTTCGAACATCTACAAAATGGTATAATTGCCCATTTTAAACGGATTTTTACCCTAAAAAGGTCAGCTAGAATTTTCGGGAGCCTTTTTTCTGGCTGAAATTTTCGAAAGGGTAAGTTTTGATCCCTGTAATTTTCAGATCACTAGACTTTCAGCTAGGAAATCCGAATAGATGAAAAAATTTTAGGGGATAAAAATATGCATATGTCTACCGTTTAAATACTAAAATACGTTTAACAATGCTATGTTTTTGGTTTTGAACTATGTTCTCGTTGGGTGCCCCTGAACCTTACATTCATGTGTACAGATGTAGTTTAGTGGGAAATCGTCAGCCTCCAGTCTCACAGTTAATTTTTCACTACTGTTACTATTATCTTATTGGAAGGTATAACTATGGAGGATGCGGCTTATCTATGAACAATTTACTCTAACTACAGACTTGCCAATTAAGTCTCATGACTTTGTCGTGAGTCTCACGATTTCACGACCTATATCACGCTCTCACAAGTTGGCAACTGATTTCTCATGCTTTCTCGAAAAGTCAAATCCAAGTTAGATATCGATCGATAGCCAGCTCAATCCAAAGAAAACCTTTAGCGGGGCCAATAAGGTTGAAGGAACTATGAGTGGATGCTAGGAACTAATGAGATTTTGGCATCTAAACATGACATTGCTAAAGGTCAAACGAGGGCACTTTGAGACCGCCATCGTGGTTTTTCACAATTTTGTCGTCTTTTATTTCGGCTAAAGAAGTTTAGAAGCATAACATTTAAATATCTTCGTGATTCAAACGCTGAGTACAGTGATGGGGCTGTTTAAGGGTGCATATTTTGGTGTGGGTGTTGCTTCAAGACATTTCCGCTGACCTAATTCGTCTATCGCGGCGAATGGTGCAACGCACGTATTTCATAATTTATGAGTTCTGTTTCACCTGCTTCAAGGTGCAACAGAACGTATTTCATAATTTGTGAGTTCTGTTTCACCTGCTTCAAGGTAGAGTAGAAAAGATCATATATTTTTCAAAGTTCTTCTTATGAAACGTTAATAATTGATATTTAGAGATGGACTTTGACGCCGAAGTATGCGGCCTATAAATTGTGGTTTTAGAATTTTAAAAGGCAGCTTATTTTTTTTTGAAAGCTGTACCGAGTAAGTTAATCCTGTAAACAAGCTTTATTCTCTCGCTTACAAAGTTCAACAGACCTTTTTCGTTCCGGCAAACATGAATTAAGTGAAGAACATGATACTTAAAAATTGGTTATATTTGAGGCCCTATTTAAAAGCCTTCCCTCTTTTCAATGTTCTTGAAACTTGCAGGGTATATTTATTGACGATTGATCTCAGGATTGTCGAGTGTATAAAAAAATTTATCGAGCGGTTTTTTGAATAATGCGAATTTGTAGGCATGGACCAAATTACGTGCAAAAACTGTAACAAAAGCAGCTGAATGCAGGTTAATAAAATTCGTCTAACTCGCGATCGCCCAGAGCGAATCAAACCACTATGAGATGAAGCCGCGTTTCCAAAGCTTATCATTTTCTTAAAATATTAGCTAAGTGTGTGGATAGCATGCTCTTTCACTGTTTTTATGATTCTTAAAACTTTGTTTCAAGCCGATATTTCCAAAACGCTCTCATAGAATTTGTTCAAACTTTGCCCTAATTGAGACAAAAATGGCAGGTACATACTCCCTTAAGCGATTTCTTTTAAAAAAAAAACTCCTAGTACAGAGAAACACAAAGATAAATAAAAAATCCAATGGCGTCATTACGTTACCATGGTGACTCCGATTGCAATAAAACCCAGATCATAAGAAATTTTCATCTCTATATAATACAGTCGTGGTAACCTTTTTTCCCATATCTTAACTCACGCCGACGTAGTTAACGCTCAAACTTTGGAGGTATTCCCCCGAAAAAATCCAGTCGCGCCACCTTACGTTGTGTACAACAATGGGCCAGGGAAGAAGGAAAAAAACGGTTACACGAACGCTGTTAAAAAAGCTAAGCGTTAAGTCTCGCTTGCTCGGCGGAGATTAGATACAACAACAACAACAACCTTTATTTGTACTCACTCTTGCTCAAAAATAAATTACGACAATGAAAATATTAAAAGTAAAAATTAGAGTACTAGCTGCCTTGAATAACCATAGGGCTAGCGGAGCCAGGCAGCAGGTTGACATCAGCATTAAATAGAAACAAATTAAAGGTCAGCAAGAGAACTGAAGCACAAATGCACACATAAAAAGAAAAAAAAGAGAGAAGAGGAAAAACGCTATTTCTACGCTCTGAAGGAAGTCTAATATAGTTAAATTTATATATGAATACAAAACATTAATAAAAGACTGTGAAAAGTTTGAACCCAGGGGTCATTTCAAAAGTAGGTTGAGTTTGATCGTCCTGGTGAACGTCAGTGCCGTACAAACGACTTATTGACTAGATCAAGCAAATTTAACTACGAGAGAACGACTGGAGAACTGACAATATGACTAACAACAGACGACTGTTTAACTGTGACAATAGACGGATCGAAACGCACCAATTACTGATTACGAGTCTTCATAGCCAATAACATCACGGCTTAACTGACAGACGACCAATAACATCGCGACGTAATTGACCAATTAAATCAATAACCAGAGTATAAAACCATCAACTGACGTGATACAACTCACTTTGACTCTGAAGATGACTACCGCACAGGTTGTCGAAACGTCAGTCACTGTCAACAGTAACAGTCCTATTCAGGACTACGTTCACCCGGACGATCAAACTCAACCTACTTTTATTAATAAAAGAAGAGTACACGTATGGCAACTAATAACAAGTTGTATATTAAGCTATAGAAGAAAAAACATTAAGACTTGAAAAGGTGACAGAATTTAACAGACGACTAATTTACAGGTAATTTGGGAAACAACACAACTACTAATAAGAATACAAGTAACTAATAATCTTTGACAAGATTGCTTAATAAGAAATGAGGAGGCGATTAATTCTACACGAAACTTGATTTCCTCGCTCAAAGTTTTATCGACGGTCGAGTATTCTGTAGGATATTTACTTTTTGTATTGTATTCGACGATGATTGGGAACGCGCATATAAGTGCACGAAAATCAGTTCGAGAGAAATTACATCATTGCTGCCAGAGACCAAAAACGTGATGAACATGGCGCGTCATTTCAATCATCGCCGAAAATAAACCGCATGGTCATCACCAGACTCATTTGCATACAATGAAAGTTTGCTACACCCGACCAGTTTATAGCCTCACCATCGAAGTTTTCACTGAAGAAAAAGTAAGTAATCAACGCTTTCAAGCGATAGAATTCGTGGGCCGACCCGTTCCGGAAAAGCTCGACATCTTATGCATCAATCTTTCCTGAGCTTTCTTCAGAAAATAAAGCATGGCACTGTGACACGTCGCCAAGGAGCAGAGCCATTTTAACCCCTATTTAATACAATCTTAATCTTAATACAATCTTAATCTTAAGTCTTTGTATTTCTGTTTCAGATTTTCTGTTAAGGAAGGCTTGAAAGGGCCCGGAAAGGGACTACATTTAATTACATCCAAATTGCAAAAGATACCTTACAAGAGATAGTTTTGTCTTGTGATCCTCAGCAATGGCAACGGGCGGTTGGGTAGTAGATCTTGATACCAAGGAACACAAGAACTGGGTGATGGTTGGTTGTGCCCTGAACATTACCAAAAAAGGAATTACATCAAAAATTCAACAGGAAGTAGAGCCTTGGTACCAGTCTCTTATTTCCAGGCCTCCGCTTAAGTCTCTTCCGTCATGTACATGTGCATCTCGAACACCAAAATGTGCTTCCTGTGTTACGTGGGAGGCGGAACTAACCCATCTTCACCTGGCCCCGCGACCAAGAGTTTGCTGGAACAACAGTGACAGAAAACAATGGGGATCTCCAACTGCAGCTTGGGAAATAGCAAAGCTCTACATGCCAACTTTAGGTGGTCGAAAAGTAGATGTTGTCAACGCCGAAACTACGGACATAAGTGGTCTGTTGAACTTGTTGGAATGGTGTCCATTTATTAACCCCCGTGTGAGCAGTACAGTTTTGACTTCCGCGCGAGAGGACAGGAATCATTGGGCTCATGCTCCGAATCAAGAACTTGAAGATGCAGATGTCGCAACCATATTTGGTCATTTGAGTGACCTGCTGAGTGACCCTGTGTTCAACGCTGATAGTGTGGCCCAAAAGGCAGCAAAAGACTTGCATGATTTGCAATGTCAAGGTCTTGTGACAGTCACTCATGCTGAAATCGAGGCTCTTCGTTTGCTGCGCCAGTGTCTTGTAGCTGATGTGAAAAAATGCCAAGATGACCTATCTGATTTTCAAGATAAACTTGCACAATTTGAGACGGAAAAGAAGACATTTGATAAAGCCATGCAGAGTGATTTATCTGAAGTGAAAAATCAGGAAAATCTGAACAGAGAAACGATTAACCAGTTGACACAGGAGCTCGATAACTTAAGAGACATCTTAGCACATCATATTACCGACATACCCAAAATAATGCTTGCCGCAGACAACTTCAACAAGCTACTGAGTAAGAGGAACGATCTAAGTGAGTCTCTCGATCATATCCATGACGATGTGGAATGTATCAAAACTAAACTGGTTGTAACGGAGAGTAAAGTGGAGAACTTGCGATACGACTGCCAAAGCCTGAAATGTGAAATGTCTCTTCTGCATAGAAAAGTCATGGAACTAAAAAACATGGTAAGGAAATGGGATATCTACAGGGGAGAAAAAGATCATGACAATGGTGTGTTCGTGTGCACCATACCGAGAAGGTTACCATTGTTCACAGGCCGAAAGTCATCCCTGGAATGGCTTGAAAGGAATATTATCACTGAAAATATTGGGACTGAAATGTCCTGTTGCACCAAAACAATATGTGGCCTTGGAGGCTGTGGCAAGACTTCTTTGGCTATAGAATTTGCTTGGAATTACAAAGATCGCTTTCCAGGTGGCGTGTTTTGGATTAATGGGGAAAGTAATGATAATATTCAAAAATCGGTGTCAGACGTGTTTGCTTTTGTCAAAAATGATCTTCCCTCAGTAAATGAGGACATTGATTACACTTTGAACAGATTCCTACCATGGCTGTCCAAGAAGAAACGTCCATGGCTTCTCTTAGTGGACAATGCAGATGAATTGCATGATTCAACGTGTTCTTCAGGCATCAAGAAAATATTCAAAGGGACTTGGCAAACAGCTGACCCTCATGTATCACAGTATGGTCACATACTTCTCACTACAAGGCAAAATTCAAAAGTCGTCAAAACATTCTTAAAACTACCATTCCCAAGTAAGGAATGTCTGGAGTTAGATTGTTTCACCGAGGAAGAAGGAGCGTCTTTTCTCATGCAAAAAACCGATCGCCAGGGAGAAGCCAATCACAGAGAAGCCATCTGTTTAGCGAAAGAACTGGGAGGACTTCCACTTGCCCTTGAGCAAGCGGCAGCCTTCATATCTGCTAGTCCTATTCCACTGAGTTTCAAAGATTACTTAGAAAAGTATCAAGAAGTCAATCAAGGCGTGTGTTTCTTGAAGCAAGAGCCTGTTTCGGCGCTGGATACCGTGGAGGCTCAGCATCGATTGTCAGTTCACACAACTTGGAAGATGAATTTTGAATACGTTAGAAAAGCATCAGCGGCTGCTGCCAGTATGATGCATATCGTAGCCTTTTTTGATTCGATTGACATTCCTCTTTGTCTCATCAACCCGGGCTCTCCTGAATTACACATTAAGGAATTACGGGAAAGTATTAGTTCGAAAACTGACGTTGCTTATATCTTGAGGGTACTCTCAAATTATTCCCTCGTTTCATTCGATCAAGAAAGTGGAGTCTTCAGCATCCACAAACTTGTTCAAGAAGTCATTAGGGAAAGCCTTTCTATATCTCAGTGGGAAGAGGCACTGAAGGCAGCCNGTCGTCAAAACATTCTTAAAACTACCATTCCCAAGTAAGGAATGTCTGGAGCTAGATTGTTTCACCGAGGAAGAAGGAGCGTCTTTTCTCATGCAAAAAACCGATCGCAAGGGAGAAGCCAATCACAGAGAAGCCATCTGTTTAGCGAAAGAACTGGGAGGACTTCCACTTGCCCTTGAGCAAGCGGCAGCCTTCATATCTGCTAGTCCTATTCCACTGAGTTTCAAAGATTACTTAGAAAAGTATCAAGAAGTCAATCAAGGCGTGTGTTTCTTGAAGCAAGAGCCTGTTTCGGCGCTGGATACCGTGGAGGCTCAGCATCGATTGTCAGTTCACACAACTTGGAAGATGAATTTTGAATACGTTAGAAAAGCATCAGCGGCTGCTGCCAGTATGATGCATATCGTAGCCTTTTTTGATTCGATTGACATTCCTCTTTGTCTCATCAACCCGGGCTCTCCTGAATTACACATTAAGGAATTACGGGAAAGTATTAGTTCGAAAACTGACGTTGCTTATATCTTGAGGGTACTCTCAAATTATTCCCTCGTTTCATTCGATCAAGAAAGTGGAGTCTTCAGCATCCACAAACTTGTTCAAGAAGTCATTAGGGAAAGCCTTTCTATATCTCAGTGGGAAGAGGCACTGAAGGCAGCCGACACGCTTCTTCAGTTTGCAAGCGAAGCAACCGCGCAATCTATTCAAAGTTACACACAGGAGTTAAAGCTTCTGAACGCAGAACTCGATGAGGAGCACAAACAGGTAACTTAAAATAGAGACTGATATCTACCGAACAAACTGAGTAATCCTCCATCTTAGGTAAAACTCTGGTGATGGACTGCAGTGCAAGAAAGCTTTTAAAAAAGTGTTTCGTTTCCACAGTATTAATAATGAAGCTTTTTTCGACTGGCCATGTTCCTAAACAATAATATCTATAATTAATACTGGTAATTGGACTGAGTCCAATTTGGTCTGCAGTCATACGAGTGATTAACAAAAGCACGCCGTCGTCCGTTTTGTTTAATCACGAGTATGATTACAGAACGAATTGGATGACACGAAGTTCTGTTACCAATTAATCATAACTATAACAAAATTTGTGATATTTTAGGCTTTTGCAATGAAAACAAAAAATTCCGTGTTTTTTGCTAGCAGTGAACAAAGAGCCATTTGAGTGCGCGTGCGCGATGCCGTGTGCTGGCCAATAGGGTGCTTTAGCATCGACGACGGCGAGGGCAGCGAAAACGTCACTTGTAAAACGAATCCGCGTTTTTTCAAACTCTGTAATGTCTATTCCAGTTCGCTGAAAATAATAACATTAATCCAGGGAGCCCACTCGCGTTAGCAGTTTTCAGTGAGGTATTGCAAAAAAATAAATATAAAATGACCAAAAAACTACATGCTAGATTTCCTACTTAAAAAAAAAAAATAAGAGATAAAAATTGATATTTACATATAAAACCAATTCAAAAATAGTTTAAAATTGGATTACGCATTCTTTACAGCGTTTTAAGCTTTGCCTTAAAAAGGGACAATGATTTGCTGCTTTTAATGTCATTGTCTAGGTTGTTCCAGTCCTTAGACGCTTGAAAAATGAAAAAAAAATAGTTTAAAATTGGATTACGCATTCTTTACAGCGTTTTAAGCTTTGCCTTAAAAAGGGACAATGATTTGCTGCTTTTAATGTCATTGTCTAGGTTGTTCCAGTCCTTAGACGCTTGAAAAATGAAAGTTTGCTGGCTCCAATTGGTGCGCGCGTGAGGAAGGTGTAAATCATTACTTCTCCGAGTTTAATGAGAATGAAAATTACTATTGCGCCTGATGTCAGATTTAAAATCAATTTCCCCTATCAAATATTTTTGCATCATACCACAGCGACGGAAGTGTCGTCTCTTTGAGAGGGTCTTTAGGTTCAATCGATCTAGTGCCTCGGTTGATGAACTTCTTGGTGGCAAATTAAGCAGAACCTTTGCTGCCTTGTTTTGAAGGACTTGCAGCTGACCCGTGAGCGTGTTGTTATTTTCGTCACCACACATTGCCAGTCTCCATAGTCAAACAGTGGGATGATTAAGCAATTGTATAGTGTTAGCTTAGCATGTAAAGGTGAAAGATGTGGTATTCTCTTTATCATTCCAATCCTTTGATTGATCTTTGTACTGATAGTATCGTTGTGCTCTGACGAAGTCATGGTTTGGTTTGTAACAACTCCCAATTTCTTAAACGAGTCAGACCTTTCAATAGCAGTGGAATTTACTTTGAGGAAAATGTCATTAACCAGTTTAAGCTTCCGTGAGTGACCAAAAATGTCGAAATTTTATTTGGAAATAGTTAGGGTCAACAGATTACTCAAAAATCATTTCAATTGGAAACTGTAGACGAATCAGAATTGAACTTGCTTTCAAGGTCAAACAGATCTATCGATGAGTAGTGTCGTCAGCATAAAGAATAATTTCACTGGCAAGCTGACACGATGGTAAATCATTCACACAAAAAAAGAAAAGAAGCGGTCCTAATGTGCTTCCTTGTGGAAACCCAACAGTTATTGGTGCAGCGAGAGAGATTGTATCTCCAACAAACGTCCTTTGGTTTCTGTTCGTGAGGCATGACTGGAACCAATTAACAGTGTCATCTGAGATTCCGACCAATTTAAGCTTATGAAGTAAAAGGTTGTGGTCAACTGTGTCGAACGCTTTCAACAGGTCCAAGAAAACAGCCCCTGTGAGAGCACACGCATGTTCAGAAGTATGTTATCTGTAAAGCGTGTCAAGGCTGTATCAGTTGATATCTTAGGTCGAAAACCAAATTGCTTGGAGGTAATGATCTTGTGGTCATTGACAAAATAGTAAAGTTGGTTATGTGCCGTCTTCTCCAGATTCTTGCTCAACATAGGTAACACCGTTATTGGCCCGTAATTGTTTGGGTCACAGCGATCGCATTTTTTGAAGAGGGCGGATACCTTTGCAAACTTCCATAAGGAAAGGAATGTACAAATGACCAACGATCGATTAAACAATTTTGCGAGACTCTTACTAATTACACTAGCTAACTCTTTCAAAACACCAGCACTGATATTGTTCAGGCCAATTGCTGTGTTGGTTCTAAGTTGTAATTGTCTTCGGTAATTGTCTTAAAACAAGCTTTGGCAAATCAGTTAGCTTGGAGGAGGAAATGATGGTCAGATAATGGAGGATTTTAGTTTCATAGCGAGCTTTGTACCTATTGTAGAGGAGTGTATATTTAGGATTACAGTCATCTTCCTCGTTTGCAACAGATCCTCAGTCAACGTCCTTTAAGTAATTTACGAAATCTTTTTTGGAATAATTTTTGAAAGAGCGATATTCAATAGTTTTCCCTGGTGCTTTTGGTGACGCCTGACTTAGGGCCTGCTTACGTGGAGGTGGGGGACCCCAGGTAGGTGAAGTAACCTGCCTGTCCATATAACCTGTCATAAAGTATTACTTTGATCAAGTTTACATAATAGGTGGGGTGACCCGCTACATGTTACCTTACCTATCTGGGGTCCTCCACCTCCATGTAAACAGGCCCTAAATGACACAGAACATCATGAGTAGTCATGCTTCAGCAAAATTAGGCCTCTCTGGTGTCGAGTAAAGGGTCGAGTCTATGGCATCACCCATTGTTATAACTTAGGGAAAAGGTGCGTTCCTCAATACTAATGATGGTCTTCCTCCTTATATAATGAAGTGGATAGGTTTACTAATGAGGGTCTGTCTACTACAATAGGCTTGCCCGTTAAGTAGCTTGAGCCCGGTTTGTCGGACCGTCTATTAAAAGAGAAATAGGAATAAGAGAAGCGATTACCTAGCAACGCGAGAAACGGCTTACTATATCTTAATTAGCGCTAAAAATCGGATACATCAACAAACACATACACAACGTGGAGCTAAAAAGTCTTTATTTCAATTTTGTCTAATAATTACAGAACCGTTTTCTCCTATTTATCTCGAGGACATGAAAAACGATTAAAGTCTTGTCATTTTCACGCACTGTTACTCAGTTAATTATGCGAGTTCACAATCCCAAAGTTGAATACTAATTAGTTTATCTCTACAGCTAGACCCAAGGGAGCACCTTGACGTATTATTATATAAGCAATTTTAAATAACTTAAGGTGGCTCGATACAGTTTTTCAGGGTCAATACCTCCCAAGTTTGAGCTTAAACTACGTCGCCATAAACAAAGATTTGGAAAAATTGAAACCACAGTTGTATTAGATAAAGACGAAAATTTGTTATGATCGGGGTTGCAATGACATCGGAGTTGTCATAGCAACGAAATGACGCCATGACCTATTTTACTTGCAGCAGCATTTCTCGGCACTGGAAACTGTTCTTCCAAAGTCGTTTACTGGAGCTTTTTCCTTCAATAGCCGCTCTTGATGTTCGTGAAGTTTAAGCGACATCTGTAAGAGCGTTATCGAAATATTTTGTGAAGAAGTTTTTATGGCTAGAAATACGGTAGAAGATGGACAATCTTGATGTTCGACTGTTATCTGTACTAAACAAAGCGCTTTTGACATGCAATTTTACCTCATAGTAGATTTAATCTTTTTAAAAACGTGTGTGAAAGATCATGGAGATACATCCAGCCGATTGCTAGAAAGAAGGATTTGATTAGTATGTATCGGGGCGCTCTTGTTAGCTTTAATTTAAACATTTCGTTCTACTTTAACCAATTAGCGAAAAATTTTTAAACCGCTCGATAGATTTTTTAAAAAATTTGAGAATCTTGACGAATTAACCGTCCTTTTATATGACCTCTTAGTTTCAAGATTATTGATATATTGTAAGGCAGTAAAATAAGGGCTAAAATTCGCTAATAATTTTTCGGAAATTTTGTGTTTACAAGTGAGAGCCTCTCATTATTCAGGGTTATTGTCTCAAAGTTTCATGTTCACGTGAACAGCAGTAACTAACAAGGCATTTCATATATGCAAAAATGCTAACTGTTGTTCTGTACGAAAATACACAATACCCCTGAATAATGAGGGCTCTCTATGAAGCTTGGCTACAGGCATTCCAATAGTCCCATGCAAATCCCGGTGGAAATGATATGTAATACTCGTCGTAACATTGTTAGAATCAAAACTACCCTGATTGTTTCCATAAGCGTATTCACGACTTACCAGCAAGTTAAGGAAACAGAAGAAGTCTGATTTCCACTAAAGCTACGACTTAACACTGCACGTTAAGATCTTTTAAAAATGAGAAATTGACATCTTAATAAATCAAAAATGTATTAAAATCTTGTTTTTTGTCTTTTATCCTTATTGCAGATAGAGGCACTGGCGGGGTCGTTGTTAGGAGACCTTACTTGTGGACAAATACCCTTAAAATTGTCTGATGATGTGCGTCGTTCATGTAGCAGTTTGCGTGAGGTTATCAGAAAAGGTTGCGCTTATTTCAGAAATAGAAACTTCTTGCAGTGCCATCATATACGTCTAGTAGAGCATCAAATAACTCTTGCGCATAAACAAAATGCAAACATCGTAGACAAAAGCAAATTGAAAGAGATAGCTTCGCGTTTTGACAGGGCCATCTGTAACCTAAGCAGGGCTGGAAAGGAATTTAATTCCTGCTTGAGTAGTCTACCTTGTTGATAGGCTTTTGTACATTATGCTAGCATTTTTTCGAGCATTTTAGTGAGGCAAAAGCATTAAGCATTATTCGAGCATTTTAGTGGCATTTTCCCCGAAAAAACATAGAAATTAACTTTTTTCAGGAGCCCAAGCCCCACGAGCTCCTGCGTTTTTAAAGAAAATGAAGACTAAAACTCAAAATTCACAAAAAAACTAATACAGCTGTTTTTTTGGCTGTATTTATGAACTTGTACAAGTTGTCGTTGTTACTTGCAACACTTGCACGTTTTTGCAAGTGTAAACTTTGAAATTAATTTAAAAAACCGTTTGTATAATGAGCATTATCCGAGCATTTTAGTGACTTTTTGGGGGAGACCGAGCATTTTAATGGGAAAAATGGAGCATTAAGGTGGAGCATTTTAGTGGGGAAGCAAAAGCATAATGTACAAAAGCCTACTTGTTGAAAATTAAGCCTCATAGGTGCGTTCCCTTTGCGTTCTGTGTGCGTTCCCTTTATTAATATGCACTAGGGTCGAGTCCATGACGTCACTCATTGTTATAACCTAGAGAAAAAGTGCGTTCCTCCATATTAATTAAGTGCCTTCCTCCATATATAATTAAGTGGATAGTCGTTTCTTTTCATATGGAAGAACGCAATAGGCTTGCCTAGACTTGCCCGGGCTCTTTTAACCCCGATGGGATAGTCAACAATCTACTGTCTGTTCAAAATGAAAGCCGGTAGGTTTCGAAAGCGCTATCTTTCTTGCAATCGCTAGGCTAAGGAAAAAGGTTTTAATATCACTAATGTTTTCTAAAACATTGCTCCAAACATGCAAGTCGAATCGAGCGCTACACCTCTGTTGACGATTGACGAAGTGGAAAAAAGTTTTATTGGACATGTGTTTCAACTGACTTATGGGGCAATGATTCACAAACTCGTTCAACAGTAAAACCTAATCCGCATCAGCGGCTGCCCTAAAAAGACCCTCAAAAACGCCGTTTTTAGCGCTGTTTTTTTTCCTGCACGTGCGTGGGAACGCTCCGAATTATACCTTAAAACAACTTCTTACTTGTTAAACGGTAAAGTATACAAGACAACTTTATACTGTGAGTATACTTCTTTACGCGCCGATAGTCAGTTAATTACAAGAGTTCACAAACCCTCAGTTGAATACAACTTATCTCTATAGTAAGAACCCAAGGGAGCACCTTGACGTATTATTATAAAAACAATTTAAAATAACTTAATTAACAAGAATCAATTGAAACACGCGATTAATAATTGCTAGCAATAAAACCAGACAAGAGATACCGTTTAAAAACTTTATTACAACCAATTACAAAAACAGTCAAACACACAGCGATTTGAAAGGCAAAAGGTTGTAAAGATTGTGAGATCATCAATAAAACGAACTTAAAGTTTGGTTGTTTACAGTTTTCATTGAAACGCAACAATACAAAGGTCCAGGAAAAAAAATTATATAACATTCATAGTACGTTGTGGAATGGGTAGTCTCCCTCGCAGCTGTTTTTTTGGATGTCACGCAACGCTCCCCCAAAAGAGCGAGGGGGAGCGTTGCGTGACATCCAAAAATACGGCTGGGAGGGAGACTAGTGGAATGGGCTGCTTTTCGTACAATCGATTGAGTAAGAATTTTCGTTTATCGATCGCTAGTTCTGTCGATTCCAACCAATCAAATCCTTCTGAATCTTTAATTTCGTTTTGGGTTTCCATAACTTTTTTGAAGGTGGGATCTTTTTTCATTGCACGCATCCACTATAGATTCTCTAAGAGTACTTTTCTTAGCTCTTTTCTGTAAACAGGAAGAAGAGCGTTCTCGGCTTTCACGCGGGCCACATTTTCTGAATCTCCGTTCCCTTCGTACTCATTGATCAATGCTTTGAGCTGGATCTCATGACGTTTCTCGGTTTCATCAAAAATGCGTGACCAAGGCTCTAAGTTTTCTGTTTCTTCTTGCGAAGACTCCGTTCCTTGGCTAGAGACTTCGCTTCGCTGTCTTCATATTTTTTAGCACCTTGTTAAAGAAGGTTGTAATGGAGGTTACTGTTCCACATTTTTGGTTTGAACCGCACGCGTTCTGATAGTAAATTAAACTTTAGAAAGTAACGCGTCTCTTTTATAGAAAATTGGTGAAGGCGGGGTTACTAAACGTTCGTTTGGCCCTTTTTACCTTCGTTCTTGACAGAGCATTATATAACGAAGGCTATCGTTTTCCAGTCGAAGAGCTAAACATTGATCTTTTAATTCATCACACTCCTTTTCTTTCTGACATAATTGACGTTGCGTGTTTTCCAGTACCTCCTCTTTCTCTCTTAACATCATGGCCAAATTGCGTAAAACTCGAGAGGCTGCCATCAGTGAACCGTTTCTTGACCGTCTTTTTTCTAATCTGGATGGAGCTGTTGTTGTTTAAACTTTTATAGAGTTCTTTCCAGCTTTCACATTGTTCTTTGCATTCCTCTTATTGGTTGGTTTTTGCTACTTGATCATTAATAACAATAATAGTAAAGAAAATGAAGAAATGATCGTCGCAGTGAACGCAATTTATGCAGTTGCGTAAAGAAGCCAGAAAAAAATTCAGGACTTCAACGGGGTTTGAACCTGTGACCTCGCGATACCGGTGCGATGCTCTACCAACTGAGCTATGAAGCCACTGACGTTGGGAGCAGGTCAATTGTGGGTTCATATGTTCCCGTGAAAGAAAGTTTTTATGGCTAGAAATACGGTAGAAGATGGACAATCTTGATGTTCGACTGTTATCTGTACTAAACAAAGCGCTTTTGACATGCAATTTTACCTCATAGTAGATTTAATCTTTTTAAAAACGTCTGTGAAAGATCATGGAGATACATCCTGCCGATTGCTAGAAAGAAGGATTTGACTAGTATGTATCGGGGCGCTCTTATTAGCTTTAATTTAAACATTTCGGTCTACTTTAACCAATTAGCGAAAATTTTTTAAACCGCTCGATAGATTTTTAAAAAATTTGAGAATCTTGACGAATTAACCGTCCTTTTATATGACCTCTTAGTTTCAAGATTATTGATATATTGTAAGGCAGTAAAATAAGGGCTAAATTTCGCTAATAATTTTTTCAGAAATTTTGTGTTTACAAGTGAGAGCCTCTCATTATTCAGGGTTATTGTCTCAAGTTTCATGTTCACGTGAACAGCAGTAACTAACAAGGCATTTCATATATGCAAAAATGCTAACTGTTGTTCTGTACGAAAATATGAAACTTGGAAGCAATACCCCTGAATAATGAGGGCTCTCTATGAAGCTTGCCTACAGGCATTCCAATAGTCCCATGCAAATCCCGGTGGAAATGATATGTAATACTCGTCGTAACATTGTTAGAATCAAAACTACCCTGATTGTTTCCATAAGCGTATTCACGACTTACCAGCAAGCTAAGGAAACAGAAGAAGTCTGATCTCCACTAATGCTACGACTTGACACTGCACGTTAAGATCTTTTAAAAATGAGAAATTGACATCTTAATAAATCAAAAATGAATTAAGATCTTGTTTTTTGTCTTTTATCCTTATTGCAGATAGAGGCACTGGCGGGGTCGTTGTTAGGAGACCTTACTTGTGGACAAATACCCTTAAAATTGTGTGATGATGTGCGTCGTTCATGTAGCAGTTTGCGTGAGGTTTTCAGAAAAGTTTGCACTTGTTTCAGAAATGGAAACTTCTTGCGGTGCCATCATATGCGTCTAGTAGAGCATCAAATAACTCTTGCGCATAAACAAAATGCAAACATCGTAGACAAAAGCAAATTGAAAGAAATAACTTCGCTTCTTGACGAGGTCATCTGTGACCTAAGCAGGGCTGGAAAAGAATTTAATTCCTACTTGAGTAGTCTACCTAGTTGAAAATTAAGCCTCGTAGGTGCGTTACCTTTGCGTTCTGTGTGCGTTGGGAGCAGGTCAATTGTGGGTTCATATGTTCCCGTGAAAGAAATGAGTGTTAATGATATATGAATATATGCTCCCAACGTCAGTGGCTTCATAGCTCAGTTGGTAGAGCATCGCACCGGTATCGCGAGGTCACGGGTTCAAACCCCGTTGAAGTCCTGAATTTTTTTTTTTCAGGCTTCTTTACGCAATTGCATAAATTGCGTTCGCTGCGACGATCATTTCTTCATTTTCAGTTCATTTCCGCAGTTCATATATGATTTATTTCATATAATTATCATTAACAATAATAGTAAACTTGTGGAATAATAACAAATCTGAAATTTGAAATACCAATTGCAATTACTAAAGCAAGATGTAAACTTTTTAATTAGACACTGTAATTTGTTATTACACTTAATAAAGATGACGATGATTCCAATAAAGAAAGCTGTGATGTCAAAATCGTTGTAAATTACTTGCTCTTCCACGATGCCGCGAAGCGGGACGAGAACTAAGCAACGCGGATCAGTGACGCAGCCCTCCATCTCTTTTACAGTGACAAAGCTTTGATATATTTATATTTCCCTACCGAATCCTTTCTATAAATTAAAGCTTCCTTCCAAATTTAACTAGGAGCTAAGAAGGACAAAGGTTTACCGCCTTTATTTTTGGTAGCTTGTTTTGATTCGGGAGACTGAAGCATGCAGGGCGCAGATAAACATTTTTTTCGTCTCTTTTTTTCTCATTTAGAAGTAAAGATGAAACGGCTTAAGATTTCTCACAGGTTTAAAAACTCACCTGAACAAAATGAAGAAATAATGAACAGAACATATACTGGAAGATACAGTAATTTCTTTTCCCTCGGGTGTGAATCGACTCCAGTACAACCAAGAAAAATAATACCGATTTATCTTTGAAAAGCCGAATAGGACTGAACTGAATAATATATAGATTTAGCCAGGGCTAAAAGCGAAGCTCCCGTTAATAAATTCATAATTTAAATCAAACAATAAACTTGTAATCCACAGATCAGGGCACATTTATTTGACGTTTGAGAAAACGTTTTTAGAGAAAAATAATTTGACAGTCCAAGAGTGGAACAGCTTTTATATCGAGTTATTAAATAGTCTTATTTGTACACCCAAAAATAGCAATCATGTTCGATCACAGTAGATTAGGCCTGGAAAACGAATAGACCTATTCGTGTATTGTATTTGCATTAGCTGTAGCATCCGATGATAATGTGGCATTCACCAGTCTCTCCAACGTTGCTCCGTTAGAGAGACTATGGATAATTGGACAACCCCGAAATATAATTTTAAGAAACACACGCGCCACGATAGTCCTTGGTGGCAGCCAATTTACACGTTGCATTCCTCCGTCTAAAAGAGAGGCCAAAATAAAAAAACAGGCCGGTTTTTTTGTGTTCGACAAGTTTAGTTTACTAGTAAATCTTGGCGACGAATCTGGTGGTGTGTAAACCAGCCTTTTAAACATACTTTTTCTCATCACGTCTCAGGTAAACAGTACTATGAGGCCCTTGTTTTTATCATACAGACCTCGGACAGAATTTGTTCTTTTTTGCCCTATTTAAACCTAGTAATTCTGCAGTTTTTCACAATTTTGCAAGAGAATTTGCACTCATTCAATATCCACGACGATCAAAGCACGCCCTTCCTTTGCACAACAAATTATAGCATTGAATTATAAAACGTTTTCATGAAGAGAATTCTATAATGCTAAGACTTTCAGTTAGAAAAATCTGGTCCTATGTGATATGCAGGGTAATATTTTTATGGGCTTTTAATGAAAACGATAAACAAATTCCCAAAATCACTTTTCGGCCAGCCGGACGGGGCTCACTTTTGACAGGCACCAAATTTGCAGTGCGATTAATAGAGTTACCATTTACGCTTCAACATGATAGATAAATTGTTATGTTTAGGTTTTATTTCCCTTTATTTATTAAACTGCGTATGGTTTTGGTATGTGTAATCTTTAAAAGCGAGTGATATTTACGCGCGGCGTTTTGAGTATTCCTGCATGAGATGTTTATGTTCGACTGGATACAACCGGTGCAGCGATAAAAATTGCGAGAGGGACTACTAACAATCAATAAAATAAATATAATTCGGTGAAACATGTACAGAGACAATAATTTTCATTCACGAAGAGAAGTATTGAGAGTAAAGTGTCTTTGAAAATCATGAGTCAGGTAAGCATAAGCTTATTTATGTTTTAAGCCGGCCTCCCGGTGTTTGCTCTTTTTCAAGATGAACTCGAGGCAAGAAAATCGCTCAGAGCTTTCTGTTTACAGCCAAAATCATAAGTAAATAATCTTCGGAACATTTTCTTTGAATTTGCGGTCAAAAAAATGTCTAAAGGCTTTTTAAACCTGATACTATTGTAGGTTAGATCATCGCTCGTGTATAAACTTAAGCCACATAAATCATACGCTCGACTTCAGGAAACCGAAAAAAAAAACATCAAAGACAACAATTTCTCAGGCTTACCAGTCGAGATGCTGCTTCTGAAGGTCATCAAGTGTTCCAGAATTTTCAACCCTCTTACGCCTCAAACAAGGGCAAGTGAGTAAGCTCATTTTTGAAAACGATGCCATCCGAAATCGGATTTCCAATGACTTTGATAAGCGGTGCATTTGTCAACAAAAAGCGCAATAAACAAACCAGCCATGAATTACAGAACAATCTTGATAGCAGCTGTATTTCGTTGTGTACACCAAGTAGAAAAAGCCAGTTTAAAACATCACAAGATGACACAAAACTCTGTTAGCTCCAGCTATCAGTAAGCAAGTTTCCAGACGCTGCATAAATTTTCCGCGTGAACTCACCTGTCAAATTTTGACCAATCAGAACATAAAAATTGTACGTAGAGCGTGATCAACGCGTGACAGTGAGAAAAGTCAAAAGTGATTGCCTTCCCCGCAGATTCCCCGCATGTAAATGTAAAAGCCGGTTGAATTTTCGCGTCCGAGGTCAGTTCGAAATCAACATTTTAAAAGTGCGGCTCATGAACTCGACTTATTTCATATGCTTTTTAAAAAAATTGAACTTGAGCCTGCGATAATTGAAAAGTAGCAACCTGTCAGCGGATACGTTAAAAAAACACTCGAACTCAGTGGGTCGATACCTGAGCCCGCGATAGTGTCAGGCGATACTGGTCAGCAGAAACACTATTTTGACAGCTGTCAATTAATCAAAACATGGATGTACAATATCAGGTTGCAGGCTCCCAAACTAGCTAGAAAGTGTGAGATTAAACATTGGTATACCTGTGGTACGGACGGACGGAAGGTCGGGTGGTCGGTGTATGGTCACGTGATTGCCGAATTTTCTAAGATGGATCGATTTTCTAAGCTATGGCACTTCGAATTGAGCCCGTGATCAAATAAAATATCAGCGCAAAACTTTAAACACTACGTGACCTCAATGGATAGACAAATGAGCCCGCGATACACTCAGGTGATGATGGTCAGCGTATACTCTAGTTCTCCTTGATCGCTCGCAGTCGTGTTTTCTCCCAAACACTTGAAAAGCCTGGAAACGAGGCAAGGTAACTGGCATGATGTCAGGGCAGACGCAACGACTTTTTTTTTGTAAAATAACTTTTCGGAAGAGCAAAAAGTGCCAAGAAAATTTAAAAGCTCAATAAAGGCTAAACATTTTGGATAACGGCCACAATTCCATTCTTCCGAAGATATCTGATTCGGAGTTTTCTCGCCACCTACGATTTTCGGAGGTTGTGGCTTTTTTTTTGGTTTTTTTTTCGCATTTTGTTTCAATCAATCAATCAATCGTTAATTTATTCACGTAACGTCTAGCTCGCTAAAAATTTCGTTCAAGATTGAAAATGAAATTAACATGATTTATTCTTAATCGACATCCCAAACTTGAATAGGTTTCCTTTCCTTAGATCGGGTTCAAGTGAATTCCAGATTTTAGCGGCTTGGTAAGTGAAAGAATTCTTCTTCCGGCAGTTAAGGTTAAAGCTTGGCATGCTATGATTAACACTACTACCTCTTAAGTTGTTGAGTCTTTAAAACTAAAAATTTTAAAAATCAGGCATGTACTTAAGTCCGTTACAGAATAAAGATCTATAAAATAACAAAAGCAAACTGCATATTTTCCTATTTTCTAGAGTTTTCATGTTCACAATCCCGGCCGAGTAATTCTTCATATGAGACTCTTTTGGACGGATCATCCTTTTTGAAGATTGATATAATTAGGCCATGACTCCACAGGGTAGGGTACCTACCACTGGTTAGGATTTTATTGAAAAGGATTGTGAGAGGCCCTTTTAAGGGCCCCTTTGCCATGTTTGAGCAGCTCGCATAAAATGTTATCTACTCCCGGGGCCTTTCCAGTTTTTAAGAGATCGATAGCAGTTACCGTTTCCTGTTCAGATATTTCATAATCTAGGGGCCCCAAGGCCTCTGATCTTGTTAGTATGTACTCTTCGTTTTGCTGTTTTCGTGCGTTTAACTTTTTAAAGTAACTGTAAAACTTCTCTAAGTCCTCACATGTGTTTTTTTGCATATTTTTGGATTTGCCCAGGTTGAATAATTTCCTAAATTGTCTCCACGCAGTTTTAGCATTACTGAGATCAATGCATTTAATTATCCGATTATAATGTTGGCGTTTCTTTTTTCTGCACAGGTGTTTGAAAGCCTTTTTTTTCTTGTGTTAGACTTGATCTCAATTCCTCCACGTTCGGGTTTCGTGAGATATGCCTACCTAATGATTTAAGATTCTCTTTTTGTATGTTGCATTGCTCGTCGAACCATGGTTTTACACTATGCTTCCTCGTGATATTATTGAATCTCAAGCCTGCTTGTTTAATTTGCATACGTCAATTAAGTTTTTTGTGAATAGATCAGTCACGTTATTGTTATTCAGTGCTGTGTTCGGCCTGTTTTTTGTTTTTGTACTTTCTAAGAGTCGGCTTAATTCGTATTTCGCATTATCATCCCAGACTAATTTCTTAAATTCGCTTAACGTGATTTCGTCTGATCTTTTTCCGGAGCACCTTTTTTTGTGTTTTAGCCCTGGGGACTAAGTGCTCCGCCCAAGGGGGGTGAGCCCTGGGGACTAAGTGCTCCGCCCAAGGGGGGAGAGCCCTGGGGACTAAGAAATTGATTCGCTGCATTTTTTTTTGTCCTTTTTCATGCAATGAATGATCTTACAGTTAACTTGGATAATACATCTCTCTATTTCAGTTAGTTAGTTATCTATATGTCGTTTTTATAACGATCGTTCATGCATGTTCGTCTGAATCGGATCTGTAAAGCAGCACGGGCAATATAATTAAGTTCAGCGATATTTGTATGCTATAAAAAAATTCTGAAAAAGCAACACAAGTATTTATAAATTGTCTCGGTCTTTTTAAAAGTAAAATTCACGTTTAGTGCCCAGCTGAGCAATGACTTTACAAAATTAAATTACAAAGTGGAGGTTTCAACTCCTCCTTTAGCTGCATGAACATGACCTGCATGTTTGGCACTAAAACAAATTTTGAAGATTATAAAAGTGAAGAAATCTCAAATTCACGGGCAAAAAAGAACTTGTACATAAAAAATGAATTGATAATGCTTTTCTTATAATAATCAGAAGACTCAAATGTCTTCAGTGCAACAATTGTCCTAAACTGCTGGTAAGTCTTATAAATTATCTCTGATTTCAATCAGAGCTGTACAATGTCCAAATTAAATAAAGGCAACAAACTTGTTAGTTTACCAATCCATTGGTCTTTTTGTTCCAGTTTATTATTGGTCAGTATTTTCTTGAACTTTTTTCAAATTCCTTGACCATGTCGCTCAGCTTGTGCACAGCTTCGTATATACCCTCGCCATTCTTAGCACAGGTTTCTTGAACATGCCATGGGTTCACTTTATGCTGCAAGAGGGACAGTTGTTGAGCAATTTCGTGAGCCTTGAGTGCTCTTGGAAGATCTTGCTTGTTGGCGATGACAACCACAGGCACACGTTCCATTTCAACACTTTCAAGGACGCTGAAAAGTTCTTGCCGGGCTTCTGACATTCGCTCCAAATCAGAGCTGTCTAACACGAATATCAAGCCCTGTGTGTTCTTGAAATAGTGGCGCCACAATGGTCTGAGCTTCTCTTGGCCTCCCATATCCCAGACGGTGAACGTGACACCCTTGCATGGGCTCACAGTCTCCACATTAAATCCAATTGTAGGAATGGTGCTTACAGTCTCGTTTAGCTTGAGTTTTTACAGAATGGTGGTTTTACCAGCTGCATCAAGCCCTACCATGAGGATACGAGCTTCACGATTGGAGAAAGAACGATAAAGATCACTCATACTTTTGAAAAACTGAGAGAGTGTGATTCCCATAGTCGTTTAAAATATCTCTTTCAGTTGGTCTTGTCTTGTCTTCTATTGATTGTTTCTGATATCTTGATGTATTGATCTTTACAACTAACAAGTAGCTCATTTTATACCTTTTAAATTTCATAACTCGCTGTAATTTGGGTTATAATTTTTGTGTACCCTACATTTGCAACGTGGATCCGTTTCACCAGTCTACAACTGACGTCATTTTATGCTAAAAATAGCCTCGTTACAAAAACGTGGATGTTACACACTGCGACCCAGTCCTCCAGCGCATTGCATTTTCAAGATGGCGGCTCATGTGGAAGAAGAGCCCGATTTACCTGAAGAAGTTACTGAGTCCCTTGAGACTTTTCACGAAGCTTTGGGTAAAGTTGAAGATGTTTTCAAGCCTGTTCTAGAGACCTCAGTGGATGACCTAAAGGAAAAGGTTTGAAGTTCCCTTTATAAAAAAACATAGCGTACATGTAACCCTCAAGTAGATTTTGACAAGCTGAAACTTTACGTTGTATAGCTTTCATTTTAATATCACATCTTGAGATTTTTTAAACGTTAAATTAAATTGTTGGTCACCTACGCTCTTAACTGAAACTGAAACTTCTATGAAATCAAGTAAACGGTTTCTTTTGATCACAAGACAGGATCGCATATTCGTTCAACACTCTTATTAAAAATGTTGTCTTTAGTTGCGTTGTATTATTAAAGTGAAGAAATCAACTCAAGAGAGCGTTAAAGGTACAACCAAATACAAAGCTGGTGAGGGTTATTCTCAGAAAAACAGGGAGATCGATACCCTGCAATTTGTATTCACATGTACAAAAGTATTCTTAAAAGTTCTTACAAGTTTTATGACTCTTTTATGTTTGTGGCACATGAAACACGTCAAATCCGAAAGTTGAATTGATTAAAGCAAGAATAGCCTGCAAAAACAGCCATCTCTCCTCACTCCTCACCGCTAGGGATGTTTCGCCAGGAGAGGCGTCTGTGCCTCAGCAACAAAAATTCCAAACTGCTGGTGTATAATCTGTCTGAAATCTGGTTGGGAGCTGTGATTGGTTGACATAGTAGTTGTATTGTTTTAGCTATTGTTTGTGATTGACAGACAAAAGACCAACAGTCATAATGTTAAAATGTAAACGCAATGAATCTACTACAAAACAATCAATTTTCATGGAATATATTTTTCTGTAGCAGAAACATTTGAGCTTTTCTGAAGCTCATTCATTGAAGGGAAAAAGAACCAAAAAAGAAGAAAAAACTTTACCATTAGATTATCAACCAGGAGAATAAACTGACATTTGGAACCCCATGACTACCAGATTTATTATGTAAACATCAGTACAGAGTTTCTGTCACTGAGGTGTAAACATCTCTCCTGGCTAAAGGTCCCTAGCAGGGAGCAAGGAAAGATGGCTGTTTTCACAGGCTCAGATGAGGATAACCTAACTGATATCTTCAATCTTATAACAATCAAGTCAGTGTTAAATTTAGTGAACCTTTATTGGGCTGCCAAAACTACAGAATACAGGGTCTTATTTATTGGTTCTTTTTTATTTTTCATAACACTTGGATAACAAGCCCTATTTTAACTTTTTATTTTCTTTTTTAGATGAATCCACTGGAAAGTGCAAAACTTGACCTAGTAGTTGCTTATGCTATCAACTCAATGTTCTGGAGTAAGTTTTTTCTGAAACTACTTTTCCAGCTTCTTAACAAAAGCCTCCCTTTACTTGCCTTTAGCCAAAAGAAAATAGTATAATGGGACAATACTACCAAAAAGGTTTAGTTGAGCAGGATTAACAAAACTTCCAAAGTTTCAAAAGCCATAACTACATGTGTACAAGGGAAAGCTGATAAGCTGGAATCATGAGTTTTTTATATACTGTAAACTGCTACTTATAAGCTCCCCCAGTTATAGGCACATCTGCCAGTAAACAAAAAAAAAAGTGCATCTGATCATAACCCCCCGCCTCCCCTTCCTAGATAAAAGCACCCCTCCAAATGTATATAAATGAATTTGATTTATTATTATCTTAGTTATAAGCCCCCATGGATTCAAGCCTCTCCATATGTAAGCCCTGATCCTAAAACCCCTTACGAAGATGTATAAGGCTGCCCAGGACTTATAAGCGGTAGTTTACGGTATACCATCAAATTGAATTCTGTGGAGTGTTGTGTAGAAGTTTTTATTGTGAAAATAATATATGTGTCTCTTTTTGTAGTGTATCTTACCACTCAAGGTGTAAACCCACGTGAGCATCCTGTGAAATCTGAACTGGTAAAGTCATTTGCCTGGAATACATTGAGCTACATGTAGTACCATTATATCATTATTTATTATAGCAAATAAAGAAGCCTCGACTGTGCTCTGTTCTGTTCTAAAGCAGGCAGAAAGAAAGAAGTGTATCACATTCCTTTTTAGAATGGACAAAATGTCATGATATGATTGTTTTTGAATGGCTAAGAAAGATGATTATGAGTTCAGACCATACAAAATAGGTGCGGGTCAGCAAAGTTTTGGTTTTAAAAAATTTTAAATAATGGAGAATATTGGCACAATATCACTGGAAAAAGGTGCTGGAGCACACAACTCATGATTCCTTACTAATCCTCACAACAAAACTATATTTTTTTAACACTATTTTTTCTCATGCTCTTTTCATCCCTTCGTATTGTAGTATTGTTTAAGCTGTATCCCATAGGTTGTGCACATCGGCGGGTTTTGAAGGTCATAGAAGTTCTTTAACTTGTGTGCTGCCATTTGTTGTCATTGTAGGACAGAATAAAGAAGTACATGGGAAAAGTGAAAGAAGCAACAGAAAAGAAAGAAGGTCAGTATCTCCTCTGATCCCTTAGAAAAACTAGCAATATTATCTGGAATCCACTTAAAATAACAAACAATAAGTGCAAAACCAGAACTTCCTGCTTTACAAGGACAACATTGTGTAATTAAAACCCAC